TCAATGTTTTCTTCGATGAGTTACTGCCTCACCTTCAACCTGTTGCACCCTACTGGTCATGGCTTCCCACTAGAACCTCAGGTTGACTGCCTGAATAAAGCCAGTCGCTAGTGAGCATCAGATGGGCAGTTATGCAGCCAATCACAGAACCATTGGAATACCAGGGAGCACTGGACAGCCATTTCGCTCCGGTTTGAGACTCTTCGGCAGTATGTGCCCAACAGGATTCGAACCCAGGATATTCCCGTTACAAGGTGAGCTTGTGGACCATTCACCACTCGCTAACTCTGAAGAGTCCTGGACAAGGACGAAACAACTGTTCAGTGCATCCTAGTTACCAGTGGTTTTCTAACTGATGTCAGCTCATGATCAAACTTGTAACCACTTAAATTCCTGCAAAGCAACACTTGGTAATTAATCTGATGCTTACTCGAAACTACCTGTATAAGGGAAGAAACCTGGAGTTCCGGTGAAAAGTTGTAACCAGCAAGTTCCATCATCGGTCATTAGACCAGCTCCCAGTGGCTGAATGGTTTAAGAGTTTGCCTTGTAACTGGAAGATCCCTAGTTCCAGTCCCAATGGGAAGATACTGTTAAAGCGTCCCAAACTATGTCGAAGCAGCCGTCCAGTACTCCCTGATTTCCTAATATTCTTTAAAATAACATCAGCTGTTGACCAGACTAAATTCCGAATAGTTTGCTTTTGTCCCTGCTTTACACGACAAAGACTGAGGGGAATTGGTAGTCTCGTGGTCAGCATGGTAGTCAGTTCCCCATGATAAATCTAGAAAGGATCTGATCTGATAATTATAAGGTTACTGTCAGTGCATAGGCTTCTTCATTTTTCTTTGTATAATGAATGTAACTAACTCTTGGGAATTCACTTCATTGACTACCACAAAAATAACTCTTTTAGTCGTACACACTAGTGTACTTTATATGGAGTCCAAGGATAATATTCAGAGAAACAACTACTGTACTATTTTGCCCTACTGGGGAGTTCACTTAATAAAAATAAAGGTCCCAGATATATTAACATTAAGATCAGATTTTTAAGCAATAGGTGGTTTTGCCATGAACCGAAAACATTTCGATAACTACTAATGTTAGATGGTTATAAACACTCTAAAGGGTAATCTACGCCTATGCTTAGCGCTTATTGGCACTCATTAGCAAAAGGCATCTGCAGTCGGAAACAGACGATCACACTACGAAAATAACAGATAGAATTCAGTCATCACTGGTAAGATGATTTGGACTACTTCTCATTGCTAAGTTACTGCAGAGTGCCACTAAGATTTCAAGCAGCCGTCAAAATTGCTTTCTCTTAGCTTTTGACTAAGATTACAATGGTCATATACCATATCGATTCCTACTGAACTAAGGAATGCAGTACAACTTAATATATATTCAGTCATTAAGTTGAACCTGAACTTCTTCACAAAACAATGAAGCACGCCATAAAGTTTCTAATACTGAAAAGAATTCACAGGATAAACTGAAGGCTTTCAAAGTCTTATTTTAAACTGGGACGTCTATCAAAGAGTTCAGTGAAGAGTTAGTAGATTAGAACCACAGTTAGTTGAGTGCCAATCACCCAAATAACTATTAGTCACAAGTTGCATCAACCTGTCAGGACAAATTCATCACTTTTTTATCCATAGAAGCAACTCAACAGAGAATAGCTTGTTTTCTAACTCAGTGGCATAAAAAAGGATCAATGCTCTGGTTTTTGGACAAGTTAAGCAGAGCAAAACTTCTCAATACACATATGAATTAAAATTTAAAAACCATTAACTATTTGCCGGCGTTATTAATAAATGATAACAATTTATATTAACATAATAATAATAAATTACTAATGAATATGATAACAATTAATTATAATTCATCAGTATTTTGCAGTAAAGTTCCTAACTAATAAAAAGTCACGCTTGAGGCATACACTTCGTTGACATTGTCATCAGAATTCCGTATTACTGCACAATAAAGTTCTGAAGACAATCTATCATGTCTTAGTGAATTCAAGCGAAATAATTGAAGGGTACTGAAAATAAGCCTGAGTACTACTCGTATTGGTTGGTACACTTTGGGAAATATCCAGTGTTATATATCTAGTCCTTGGTGCTGACTGAATTATATCGGTCAAGTAAGGAGTGTGGTCCTCACGCTAAACAGATGTTGGGTAGTTGGTTGTGATCGGCAGGAAGCCCAAGACCTAGGTTCCTGCTTAATGGTTATCGTCAGAAAGAGGTAACTTCAACGTCTAAGGAACTGATGTCTTCTCAGATATTTGTACCCGCATTATTCAGTGTTGCTTCAGATTATTCTCGGCCGCGACATACTACCAACCAGTGTCTCAGTCGGCGTCTAATAGAAGGTCAACCATGAGCTTCAAAAGCTCCATAGTAACATCTTTTACTACAGCATTGGGTGACGCTGGTTCATGTCTCCTAGGAGAAATCAATTACTTCGAGGCCTCTTTACTGACTGGTTTCAACAAGCATAAAACCTGGGTGCACGGCCTCCTTCCAATTGTCTTCAACCATGTAACATTATATGATCCTAATCAGCTTGTGTCTTTAATAGAGAGTTATGAACAAATAACTGATCGATTAACCCTCATCACTATTTCACAAGACTAAGGAAGTATATAGTAGGAATTGCGACAGGTGTGTACTGGTGAATTCACCCATAGTCTAAGGTTTTGTCAAGAATCCACTTTCTGCTAATAAAAGGAGCTAATGTGAGTTAAAATGAAGAGGAAGGTTACATGCTTTAATTTGGTATGGATTCAAAAGTTGTGTGTATTTTCAGTCTGTTTAACTGTAGACTTTAAACGTCACCAATACCCTGTGTTCACTTTATATCAGTCTTTGAAACTTCCCCCAAAAGCTCCAGTTATTAAAAGTAAACTGCCTCAGAAAGACACGTGCACAGAAATAAATGATATATCCACATTAAGATACTGTTTGCCTAATGGTGGCTACCGGCGGAATTCAGGACTCTCACTTCATCCTAAGTAGAACTCATATACTGAGCGTACCTGCATCTGTGTGAGCAGCTTAATCCCTAATGGGACTTAAAGTAGCAACTGCCATTTCAAAAAGCAAACGGTTGTCAATTAAGTTATGTATGAAATTCCAGATTATGAATTTTAGTCTTTATTGGGACACCATCAGCCATTGAGAAGCAAATGAAGTGAAACAAAGGTCGTAGGTTCACTAATAATCCCAACAAAAGAGTAGCAAAGCAACAACTACAGTTTTCGCAGAATAAAATGGTACCATCTTTTATTTCGTCGCCTCGTCAGCTGCTTACAGGTCAAAAACATTGTTAAATGTATCTACAAAAACAACTTTAACATACTTGCACAGAGTTCTTTTAAACAAAAATCAATCGATCAATATACTCATACATTAATAATATATACTATGGAAGATGAAAGTGACGGGAAGTTCCACTTCCTCGACATCGCTATGGAACGCCTAGAAGACGGTAGTCGTCAAAAGTAAATTTATCGAAAGTCCATATGGAAAGGACAATGCTCACATTTTAATAGCTTTTGCCCAAATAGCTATAACTACATTCACAGAATTAAGCTAATAAAATTAGGGAGTACTATAAAACATCGTTGCACACATATAACTACCCAGCATACTTCCTGATTTACCGCACCGAGGAGACAGTTGTTTAGGCTTAGTAATTCAAGTAGTACAAACCCGGAGAACTATTTGTTCGCCTAGTGACTTGAACCACTTCACCACTCGGCTTTCTTTTCAAGTCTACTTACTGCATAAGCGAACAATATTGATTGCCTAGGTGAAAACAAATACAGCTACGAGCTGAATTGTCTCCATTTTTGACTAACTCCTCAATAATAAAACAACTTTCATATATATACATATATATATATATATATAGACAAGTTACTTCTATATCTATATATATAATCCTATTTTAGCCTCACTGCCTTAGTGTTACAACTTCCGTCTTATCTTTGTCTATGCGTTTGTTATGTATATGTCAGGGGACAGACAGGTTTAAACAAGATTTTTAAAGATATCATGATGTCGGATCGCGGATTGAATGAATGCATGAATGAATGAATTGGCTTATGTCTTCATTTATAACTAATACAGTCAGTATGAATAGCCGACATTTATTCAAAATTTAGAACAATAGAAACACAACTGTTGCTTTTATACCCATTCATATAAAATATTCAGTTAAAATATTGCATAACTTTATCCTACTCACATCTCAAATGCCATTGTTAGCATCATTGTAAAAATAGGTGATGACATTCATTGAATGACAACTAAATAAGTATATTGTGTACATTAATTTGATTTCACTCATTGTATTCCGAGTGGAACATAGGACGTTAAACTTTGAGCAACTGAAATATCAGTAGTAGTGGTATTATTTCTCGAACAATGTGAGGTTACAAAACCTCACTCCTTTCTTTCTAGGCTTATTATTGACTTGCAAAGCAGGCGAGGCCTAGGAGTGTGATGTCTGGGAATCGAACTCATACTATTTACATGGTTGGCGATCATCTACTGTATAACCACCACTAGAGCAAAAATAGCTACTCGCTCATCATAAGATGGGATGTATTGATTTTAAACGTGTTAAAGCCCTGGGTTCAAGCACCAGTGCTTGCATACTGATAAAGAGTCCCAAAATGAGACGAAACAGCTGTCCAGCACTCCCTGATTTTCACTGATTCTCAGTCCACGGTCGAACTTGAAATAAAGTCACCTAATTATCCTCTTTTCCGGATACGTTGATAACTTTACTTTCGGTCGTACTCTAGGAGATACGTATCTACAGTCAGCACGATGGTTATCTGTTTTGAAAATCACCCTTACTTTTAAATAATCAAAGCTACTTTCTCCAACTGTCAAGAGATGTATAATCTACTTAAGAACAAAAATTGTCACACCGGTAGAAAAATTCTCAAAGTACATTTTATGACTGATAATCAGCAATACCTGTAATGATACGCATTCGTTCCTCTGCTGTTGTTGTGTCCTCAGCCAAGATGACTTCCTCTGTAAAGGAAAAAGAAACAAAGCAAAAATGGTTATATATTACTACAAACTGTTCAGAACAGTATTCTAAATCAATGAAGAAAATCGATAGGCAGCTTGATAAGCACTTAGATAATTTTTAGCTCACCAAAATGTTGTAATAAAATGGACTCACACAAAAAACTTGGAGGATCTGGACTTCGCCGATGATATATGTCTGATTTCCCACAAACTGGAAGATATGCAAGCGAAAAGCAACAAGTTGGCAGAAGAAGCATCAAAGATAGGACTTCAGGTGAACATAGAGAAAACAGAGGTGATGAAGATTCCTGGCCAACACCACCAACAGCAACAACAACAACAACAGACAACGATCAGCATAAATGGAAGGAACTTGAAAGAAACAACCTCTTTTACCTACCTACCTGGGAAGCATCGTTTCAACTACAGGCGGAACTGACGAGGATATCAAAGCAAGAATCGGAAAAGCAAGACAAGCTTTCACTACTCTCAAGTCTGTGTGGAGGTCAACAGCACTCAGCATGAAAAGAAATAAGATCCGGATTTTCAACTCCAATGTGATAGTCAGTGCTACTACTATACGGATCAGAGACTTGCACTGCGCGTCATAAAGAGCATCTCAAACAAACTACAGACCTTCATTAACAGTTGTCTTCGCTCAATACCACTCAAGATCAGATGGCCTGCCAGAAAAGATCAGCAACAGAGATCTCTGGCAATGAGCGAACCAACCCAGCAGGAACCGATTGTGAAACAAATAGGCAGGAAGAAATGGAGATGGATTGGCTGGCCATACTCTGAGGAAACAATCCATCAAGTGACATCACTAGACAAGCCATTGCTCGAGTGGAACCCGAAAGGGAAGCGGCGAGTTGGTCGTCAGTGCGAGGGTGACTTGGAGGAGGTCATGTGAAGAGGAGATGAAAGCGTGTGGGCAGACTTGGAGCCAGGTGAAGACTCTAGCAATGGAGACGCATGGCTGAAGCCCTATGTTCCTCTAGGAATTAAAGGAAACAATAATAGTAATAAAATGTTGTAAACCTATCTTGAAAGAAGGTTTATTACATGCAGAGATTATGGTGTAAGCAGAAAAGACATCGTAACTTCAACAGCAAGTAATGCAGTGCTCCCGTCAAAGTATGCAGATTAACCTACCCAACCATAATTCAGTATGGTCGTGGCAATGATATTTGTTGAGCAGTTAAATTACAGGAATTTTTCATCTCACATTCATTACATGTATCAGTCTGAAACTGAAATCATATTGTGAAAAGAGCTTTATCAAAAAAGGTTTTATCACACTTACATTTATATAATCATGATGCATGTTGGTAGCACCTGATGACATCAGTGGTGAAATTAAAGGTTGTTCATTGGAATAGGTATCTAATATCTCTACAGGTATTTGTAGAAGCATATTTAGTGTTAATAATAAGAGGCGAAATAATTGAGGACCTTTTTATAATGCGACAGCAACATAACACTGACTCAGTACCATGATCCTTAAACGTATGTATTCCACCCTTGATCAGATACAGAATGCTGTGGCATATATTAAGGAATTTATGTGAAGTGCATGTAAAGGAAATCAAACGGCGAATATACCATTCACTTCAATAAAGAGAAGTAGACATTTATCAGTAACTTGAATAATCTGACGGCCTTCTTAAATCCCTGGGTTACCTGGATTCCATCCAGTATTTTTTGTATTCCTTTACGTTCCCTGTGGAATATAGGGCTTCAAGCTGGAGGCTTGAAGTTTCTGTGGCAATGGTGATTATTTTTACGTAATGGGGTTGCTAGCCTCATGCACAACCTTCCCTCTTTACCAGTCTTATTACTGGCTTAGCGAGGTAAAGGAGTGTGTCGGCCGAGGATTCAACCCAGGACCACATGCGTAGTTGGTAAGCATTCTACCATTGTGCCACCAACGCACAAAACCATGGAGTACTGGAGACTTGTTTCGTACTAGTCCGGGACTGTTCAACGGTACACACCCAACCAGGGTTCGAACGCAGGACCTTCCGGTTACAAAGCGAGATCGTATACCATTAAGCCACTGGGACCAGCAATATAATGCGTAAAATCCTTTCCACTTCTTTCTGATTGTCTGATTCAACCAACCGTGTTTTTTTAGATTGCTTCATGAACTCGCACACAATTCTAGTCTCCTGTAATACAGAGAACTTCTCAACAGAAATGAACAAAAACACATAGAAGAGATTTAGATATAGCTTCAGACGGAACAATACAACATCACACGATGTGCTGCCGAATACTATTTTCAAAAGAATGGACACGGAACAAAGAGTACTCTTTTTGATAACCCCTTCATCATCAGGCTCTACAATTATATATACATTATAATGAATGAATGAATTAGTCTTATGAACGACATTAATGTTTAAATAACATCAAATCAATAATATTGATAGATTACAGCTGAACAGCATCAACATAAAATAAGCTGAATGTCAGAAGAATTAGGAAAGGTAATAGTACAAATTCATGAGTTTATAGTCTCTACTGAAGGCCAGGGCAGTAGTAGGGGCTGGACTTGTTTCTTTTGAACACAGAGCACTGGTTGTTTGAGGAGAATTGCAATAGCCTCTGCTGTTTGGAGCATGCGGTGCTTCGACGATTTTGGTAATTTGTTAGGCACCCGGTATATTATAGAGAAGGATTCTTCTACGCTGGCTTTGTGACCGGTTTGCACCAGATGGTCTAATATCGAGCTGTTAATAGTTTTAACTACACCTTTACTTAGCCATAGTGGGATATGTTCTCGAGTGAGCACGAAAAATCAAGTTCCTAGAGCAACGGTCAATATAACTCGCTCCACAAGCGCAGTTGAATTGGTAGATACAATTCGAAGTGGCTAGTCTAGGTACTTCATCTTTCAGTCGAGGAATCACCATCGGTTGTGTAGAGAATAATATGTGTAGTTCGCCCATTTATTAAAAGTTCTTTGAACTGATTTTCTTAATTTCTTCGTAATTAACTTGCTTTGTATATCGCCCATGAATTGCATTCGTATATATAAATGCTTCTTGTTTACAGACAGTGAGTAGTCCTTCTCCGCTTTCTTTGTCATGTGTTTCTTGATAAATTTGTCAGGATAACCATTTTCGATCAAAGTATCATATACAGTGCTTAATTCATCTTCAATTACTTCCTCTGAGCATATAGCTCTAACTCTGTGGCTGAGGGTCTTCACTAAATTTCTTTTGTAATTGATAGGAAAGAAGCTGTGAAAGTGTGTATATTGTCCTGGCCAAGTGCTTTTTCTATGCAAATTTCTTTTTATGCTACCGTCTGGTTTTTTTGTAAGTAGGACATCCAGGAAGGCAATTCTGTCTTGGGATTCCTCTTCGCATTTGAATTTCATAGCCGAATGTAATTGATTGAATTCAGTAATTATTGTACTCCTACCAGAACCATTATCACAAAGAATAAAGGTGTCATCCATATATTGGAAATACTATTTTCCCTGAAGATCCCGTAGGAAGTGTAGATATTTTGCATTTTAAATACTCTGATTATTCTGTAGTATGTGTTAACTTATTGTCTTGATTAAGGATGTTATTATTGTTACTATTATTTATTATTATTGTATCCTTTAATTCCTACAGGAACATAGGGCTTCAGCCGTGTTTCTCCATTGCGTTCGGTTCTCTGCTAGAGTCTTCACCTGGCTCCAAGTCTGCCCACATGCTTTCATCTCCTCTTCACATGACCTCCTCCAAGTCACCCACCCTCGCACTGACGACCAACTCGCTGCATCCCTTTCGGGTTCCACTCGAACAATGGCTTGTCTAGTGATGTCACTTGATGGCTTTTTTCCTCAGAGTATGACCAGCCAATCCATCTCCATTTCTTCCTGCCTATTTGTTTCACAATCGGTTCCTGCTGAGTTGGTTCGCTCATTGCCAGAGATCTCTGTTGTTGATCTTTTCTGGCCACCCATCTGCTCTTGAGTGGTATTGAGCGAAGACAACTAGCTGTTAATGAAGGTCTGTAGTTTGTTTGAGATGCTCTTTATGACGCGAAGTGCAAGTCTCTGATCCGTATAGTGAGTAGCACTGACTGACTTCACATTGGAGTTGAAAATCCGGATCCTATCTTCGTTTTCATGCTGAGTAGGGCTGTTGACCTCCTGAACACAGACTTGAGAGTAGTGAAAGCTTGTCTTGCTTTTCCGATTCTTGCTTTGATATCCTCGTCAGTTCCGCCTGTAGTTGAAACGATGCTTCCCAGGTCGTTTGGTGAAGGAGGTTGTTTCTTTCAGGTTCCTCCCATTTATGCTGATTGTTGTCTGTTGTTGTTGTTGTTGCTGTTGGTGGTGTTGGCCAGGAATCTTCATCACCTCTGTCTTCGCTATGTTCACCTGAAGTTGTTACTATTGTCAAAACACTAAAATATAAAAATCCATCAACATTAACTGCCCTAAATAATACACGAACTATTGGACACTCATTGACTGACAGACTGACTGAATGACTCTGTACTACTACTACTACTACTATGAGTACTATAAAAAAAATACGTTCAGCAGCATGCTACAATAGTATTCAACTAATAAAGCTCCACTTTTGTTAAGCATAAATATCAATTGAAGTAAACAAAAATTAGAAAAATAAATCGATATCATCTACTTTAAATCTAACTATCCTACCTATCTGCCTATAATTGGATCTCTATTGATTTTGCCTAAATTTAAAGCGTAAACAGAGTCAACAATAACTGCTAATACCACTACTATATTGTTTCCATAAACTTGATACTAGAGTCGACTGAAAGCAATTATTTCAATTGTGTGTACGCATATGTCTTTGTTTGTTTGTGTGAATGTGTGTGTTTAAGGTGTGTCGAATGTTAAGGGAATAAAAGTCAATCTACCATATCGTATTACTTAAAATTTGGCATAAATAACCTTCTTTTTTTGGGGGGAGGGAGATGAATTGGTAGGAAAAGGTTTGAAAACTAAAATATTTCATTATTTAAAAGATTGAAAGTATTTGGGGGATGCGGTTATATTCTCTCAGCTGGATGGTGATTTAACTGTGAAACTCTTGTTGTCCTTGTAGACACAACGTCTTCAGGAAAAGCTTTAACATGAAGTGTGAACTTATTTCAATTCTCCATGAATGTTCTAATTGTATCTCTTGTTCTTCGATATTACTATTCTTTATGCCTCAAATCTCTGTTTACTGTCTCTATCTTGCGTTTCTTTTTATTTTCTCCCCTGGCTTTGTGTGCTGAGTGAAGTATGGCGACTCGAACTACTGCACATCAGTGCGAAGTTCTATGTTGAAACCAGTCAGTCAGTCAGTATCTCTTGACAACCTCCTTTGTCATGATATGTTGTTAATTTATACCTTTAGGAATCGCTTTTACTGACTTCGAATTTGGACCTTTTTGATATGTGCTTTATTGTTTATTAGGTGGTAAATTTGATCTGTATTAATGTGTTTGTTAATTGCTGATTCATCGGAGTACCAGGCTTCTAGAAATTCCCTGGCATTTTTTGTGTTTCCACTGTGTTTAACATGCCTACATCTTCCTAATCGAACTGGTGTTCATAACTGTTCACGTTCATTGACATGAAAGAATATCTGACATGTCTACCTACAGCTAGTTTATGATCTTGGATTCCAAGTCGAAACGGATGCCCAGTTTGACTAGCATAGTGATTTTAACAGCTCTTGTCTTCTTTTGGTGTGTTGGGTGTTTTTGTCTGCATATTACCGGATGAAGTGATTGTGTTGCTGCATTTATTCTGAATGGTATAAGTATTCTAGCTGTTACTTCAGAAATATTCTTTATCTATAGAGTAGGATGAACTTCTAGAAGACCTGGATTTCGCGCGTGGATGATTTATGTTTGATGTCACACAAAATCGAAGACTTATAACGAAAACCGACAAACTGGTCGAAGAAACAGCAAAGACAGAACTCCAGGTGAAAATAGACAAGACGGAGATTATGAAAATAACCCACAAACAACAACAGCAGCAACATTCAGCGCCAATCACCATCAACGGGAGGGATTTGAAAGAGGTTACTTCATTCACTCACTTATCTAGGGAGCATTGTCTAAACTACACGAGGAACGGACAAGGATGTCAAATCGAGAATCGGGAAGGCGAGAAACACATTCATCAACCTGAAACCAATCTGGAAATCTTCCGCTGTCACTCCTCAGCATCAACAACAAAATTTGGATTGTCAATGCAAACGTCAAGTCAGTTTTGCTATACGGATCAGAGACTTGACGAGTCACAAAGAATATTTCCAACAGCCTGTCGCAGACCTTTATCAACAGATGTCTTTGTTCTTTATTTTAAGATCAGATGGCCGGAAAGAATCACAAACAAGAAGCTATGTGAACAAACAAAACAAGAACAAATCGCCCAACAAATATGCAGGAGAAAGTGGAGATGGATTGGACAGTCGCTGAGGTGGCCGCTGGGTGAAATCGCGCGTCAGACCATAGCTCGAGTGGAACCCGAAAGGGAAGCGGCGAGTGGGACGTCAGTGCAAGGGTGACATGGAGGAGATCGTGCGAGGAAAAGTTGAAACAGTACGGACTAACATGGATGCAGGTGAAAAGTACAGCAGAAGACAGAAGCAAGTGGAGACGTGCAGTTGAAGCCCTATGTTCCACTAGGAACCCAAGGGGACAATAATAATAAGGATGAACTTTCTTGTGGTCTTTGAAGATGGTATTTTTCTGGTAATATGATTCGAGTTTAAACATTTCTTAATGAAATCGTATGGGTATCTGTTATTCATCAAGACAGTAAGTATTTATTTTCTATTTGAGTGGTTGAAGGATTTCATCATGAGCTGACACCAGTTAGAGAACTGGTGCAAAACCTGGGAGTACTGGATAACTGTTTCGTCCCAGTTTGAGACTCTTTGGCAGGGTTTGAATCTAAAGACCTTCTGGTTACAAGGCTAGCGAGCTCGTAGACCATTAAGCCACTGGGACTCAATCCAATGACCGGCCCATGAATTCTAACTTCTGCCAATTTCCTTCAGTAGTGGAGGGTTACAGTGTGTTTTAACTCTTTTGAATAATGATTGTTGCGGTTGAACATTTGGTCTGTGTGCTGTGTGTGTGTGTTGATTTACAGTATGCCTGTGTTTTCAAATTTCCTGTGTTCGTTCTCTTGATTAAGACCTTTTAAAAGAAAAGAATTTTGTCATCTTATTCTTCTTCCATTGTGAATTTAATGCCTTCAAAAAATATTGTTGATAAATTTTTGATTGTATTCGAACTCATTTTTTTTTTAAAATCATGACAATATGTCATCATTAGAAGTATATCAGATATTTTCAAAAATACATATATAAAAAATATATATTCGAGTTTTTGTTTGCTCATATCCTCTATCTGGGTTAAACAATAAATTATATAGAATGAGCGTTGATTGAAAGGAAATTTAACGAAAATAAAATTTTAGCATTTACAGTGGCGAAAGTGTGAAGCGTATATTTTTTATCCTTCAATAGTTTGTCATCAGCTTAAAGCGTGACAACAAGTGCCAGTTCTTAAGCTTACTACTTATGATAAGACTTGATAAGACATCCACCAAACTTTATTTCGAAGTAGCTGTGAGACAATTAAACCAACATCACACCGCAAAACTTCAATAATCAACACTCATTCAACCGATATTCTGCCTTCACAGTCACGTGATGTTGCTATACCAATCACCATCAACGGGGAAGATTTACCAGAGGTTACTTCTTTCAGTTATCTAGCAAGCACGGCTTTAACCACAGACACATGGCATGGATGAAGATGTCAAAGCCAACCAGTCAGAATCGGGAAATCTTCTGCATAACTCAACCAGCATAAAGAACAATATTCGGATTTTCAACACAAATGTGAAGTTAGTCAATCAGTCAGTTCTTCTATATGAGAAACTTGCACTGAGTGTCACGAAAAGCATTTCCAACAGGTTACAACAGCTGCCACCTTCGCTGGCTCCATACTGGAGATCAAGTGACCGGCTGGCCAGAAAGAATTAACAACAAGAAACTCTGGCTGGCTGGCTGGGAACAAACCAACATGCGAGAGCCAATTGCTCAACAAAAATATGTAGGAGAAAATGGAGATGGATTGATCAGGCATACATTGAGGAAACCGTCTAATGACATCACGAGGCCAGGCCATTTCTCGAGTGGAATCTCAGTAGTAAGCGACGACTGGGTCTTCGGTGCGAGGGTGATATGGAGGAGATTGTGTAGTGAGGATGAGATGAGAGGTTATGGGCAATCGTGGACCAATCAGAAGATGACAACAGATAATAGAATAAAGTTGAGATGTGTCATTGAAGCTCTCTGTTTCACTCGGAACCCAAGAGAATAATAATAACAATAATACAGGCAGTTAAATCTGTCATTCTCATCAGGCAACTCTAAACTACAGCGACCCAAGTAAACAGACGTAATAACCTTGACCAACCAATTAGATCAGCCAGAACTAAATACACGTAATTTAAAGAATTCTTTTATAGATATTAAAGTCAGTGTTGAAAAATAGTTATAAGTGGTAAATTTCTCGTTTGTATCCCCACAAGCTTCCTAATTTCTTATTGAAGCATTCAATGAGAGTCCAAACTTATTTTTGTGCATAAATGCATCCAGATACCTGCATATCATGCTGTTTCTTCACCCATTCACTGCATACAGCATTAGTTTACCTAAAATAATAGGAACAACATATCTTCTCAGACACATTTTGCGTAATGTCAGCCCGGATATCTCTATATACTTCCATATACAACGGCTGTATAACCCTATGAAGAAATTACTCCTCCACGAGCTTCCTTTAAGCCTATTATCCCAACAGTACTCAAATACTGCCTCTTGATGGAATTTTCCACGTACTTCGTGTACTGCATCTATATTTCCGCGTATTCACAATGCTAATCTCATTGGTTGATTTCGTTCATTATTACTTCCGTTCACTTGGGTAGCTATAGTTTAGAATTAATTACCTTCATAGGTAACCAGTAGCTGTAAATCCTGATTCCGAAAGGGTCAAAATCAGTATTTCTCAGCAGTGTGATGGACAGTTAAACTGTTGGTCACAGCCGCATTATTTTTTTTCGCCAAGATGTGAAAAGAAGCCGATGCTTTAAAAAAAAAATAAACATCATAATCTGTCTCTAGTTTACCGACTGTCACAACCAGTTTCACGCAAAAGTTAACTCACCGGCTTTTTGTATCCAGTCCATATAACCGTTAAATTCTTTTTCAGTTTGTTGTTGTCGACGTAGTTTTAAAAATGCACGACGTTTTTCTACACGTTCTCTTTCTTTTGCGAACTCACTGAAAAGGAAAAAAAATCGTCATAAATAATAGTAGGATAAAAAATCTCTCACCTGATGAAAAAAGGAACTTTTGAGTTGAAAACAGGTTAAAAGCATTCACATCATAATTTCACATCATATGATCCACACGCTTCATTGGTCACAGTGTTCCGATGAAGTTTGTAAACTGTCTTCACTAGTATCATCCGTCCATCGGCAACTCCATGTATTTTTTATCTCCTATTATTTATTAGCTATCAGCTCAGGTTGTTGTGCTGTTTGGCTCTACTCAGTTTCAGTAGGCTTTTTAAAAAAATCTAGTCAATAATATTAATTCTTTTTATGTTACTTTTGTGGGAAGTTTGTGGAAACCACTGTGACACCACTATGATTGGTTGGAGAATTTCATCATGAGCTGACATCATGAGCTGCGATTCTCTAATAACTGTCTTTTGTCAGATAAAGTAAACATAAGAATAGTCGGACCGGTGATAGTGGGCAGTGGAATGGATAAAACGTGCATTTCGTCCTGCTTGGGACTCGTCACTGGATGCACTTTTGCTGATTAGTGATGTTACCGCTTAGATCCGACCCGACCCGCCCCTAGTAAGACAAGACTCACTTCTTGGATTCCACTGAAAGCCACTGCTAATCAAGTAATACAAATGTGAGTCAAAGGCATCAGGAGATATTGTATATTAGAATTCAATCCGATGAAATTAAAAGATGCGAAATGTAAACTTCATATATATATATATATATATATATATATATATAGTCATCAAAATCACTCTAACAGAGCATAAGAACTCCTACAATAATAAACACAAATGTGGGAATCAAAGTTGCTTCCTAATGGAAATTAACTGGTCACAGAAGTTGGTACATTCGGGAACTGTTGTCATATCAAATATCACCACATACAGCAACTCTGGTAACAGTAAACACTGTTTATACAGAGTTTTATCTGCATAAATAATTCTGTTTGACTACTGTTCTAGAGGAATTTAGGAACTTTAGGAATAAAACAGTATTAGCACATGGTGCAGAATAAAAAGGATCCCTTTTTTTAATTTTTCAATATCTTGTCAGTTGCATACAAGTTAAATGATGAATTTTAATAGTCGTATCACATTTTTCACATAATTTGGTTCATTGGGGACAAACAAAAGCCTCAATCACCGTTACACATTTTATCTCGAATGAAATAAAGTATGTTTAATACGTAATAGAACTATTAAATTTCTTTATTTAGGTTCTATGCAGCTGATGGGATACCGAAAAAATTGGCAATGGATCTGTTTCATACTGTTCCATGTGTTGTTATTATTATTATATTATTTATTATTGTTCCCTTGGGTTCCTAGTGGAACATAGGGCTTCAACTGCACGTCTCCACTTGCTTCTGTCTTCTGCTGTACTTTTCACTTGCATCCATGTTAGTCCATACTGTTTCAGCTCCTCTTCACACGATCTCCTCCATGTCACCCTTGAACATGTCCCACTCACCGCTTCCCTTTCGGGTTCCACTCAATGGCCTGACGCGCGATGTCACCCAGCGAGTGGCCTCCTCAGCAGTGAGTGTCCAATCCATCTCCACTTTCTCCTGCATATTTGTTGGGCGATTGGTTCTTGTTTTTGTTTGTTCCCATAGTTTCTTGTTTGTGATTCTTTCCGGCCATCTGATCTTCAGTATAGACAGCGAAGACAGTTGTTGATAAAGGTCTGCAACAGGCTGTTGGAAATATTCTTTGTGACCCGCCAAGTTTCTGATCCATCCGTATAGAAGAACTGACTGACTTGACGTTTGTATTGAAAATCCGAATTTTGTTGTTGATGCTGAGTTGAGTGACGAAGATTTCCAGATTGGTTTCAGGTTGATGAATGTGTTTCTCGCCTTCCCGATTCTCGATTTGACATCCTCGTCCGTTCCATGTGCCTGTAGTTGAGACAATGCTCCCTAGATAAGTGAATGAAGTAACCTCTTTCAAATCCCTCCCGTTGATGGTGATTGGCGCTGGATGTTGCTGCTGTTGTTGTTATTGCTTTGCTCAAATCGTCAAGGATTAATGAATTCTTAGAGTAAGAAAAAGATTCGCTTTTTGGAACAATCCTTATTATTCACTAGATTGTGTCTGAAACATTATTCATTAAACATTTCAGTGATACTTTGTAGTGTATCTGACAAATAAAGTGGGACTAAATGGCACTTTACTATAACGCTTAATTTCTCCCATTATGTGACATTATCATTACGAAATTTCTAACAATAATTTGGCCGAAGATGAGATGGCAGTGAGGGCAGTGAAATGCTAAACTTTTTAGCAGTTGGCTCTCACACTTCAACTGGCACAATTCCGGATTAGTAACCTGCAGGCTGGCGGTTTAGATTCTACCACGACCTAGACTTTTATTCCACTTCCAGTTATCATTACTCCCCGACGCCAATATTTTATTTTTATTCCTTTGAGTTCCTGGTGGAATATAAAGGCTGCGAGCTCCAGCTATGAAGTTTCAGCAGCACTGTCTTTTTTACGGGGTGAAGTCTCCGGCCTCACGCATAACCTTCTTTACCCGATTTACTATCGCCTAGGCGAGTCTTAGGAAAGCGTCTCCCAGAGGTTGACACCAACCACTCAAGTAGTTTACGGTGAACCACCAACGTGACATCATTGATTAAGTTGGATAACTTTTCTCTTCCAAAGACTCAAACAAGAAAATAGTTTCAACAGGAAAAAAGCACATAGTTAAAGCAAATCTTTCTCGAAGAAACTTAAACTCACCCACTCAAAACACCGAGTACCAAATTCAACATGAAGAAGGAGCCAAGTATTATTAGTGGGACAAAGTATAAGTAATTGAAACGATCTCCGAATGCATCATTTGTCTAATACAAGAATCAATGAGAAGAGGACAAATAGAGCAAAGTACACACCGTGAGTAAGTGAGTAAAACGTATTAAAATATATTTTTTTTAAACTTTTCAATGTACTTTTACCCATTTTTCGTGAACAGTAACACAACTTCACTCAAGTGGATGGACGTCAACGTCAATAACAAGAGGCAATTCAAAATTCATTCAGTGAAAAATCGTTCTTTTTCATTAAAGGAGAAATTAGATTTAATTTTAAGGGTTTGTTTTCCTCTTTTTTAAGTAACACAGACGAAATCAAGGAGTGAAATTCGCATTTTTACTTTCGTATTCATTTCCACACTTTTTTCCTTCAATTTTTGAGGAAATAGATGAAATCATTATATCATACGAAGAGTCTGCTTTGAATAAACTAGTGGCACTTTAAGCTTACATTTGAAGGCAATATCTCTCTGGGTATTGTATGCGTTGAATACGATGTAACAGTATTAACCTTAATTGATCATAGATCACTGTTCAATAGCAAGTGTTGGACTGTTCGATGATGATGTGTATGCAGTTATTTTTACAAGGCATCCATTGACTGCTTACATGACTAATGTATAGCAAAAATTACGTTCCTGTAACGTCGCTGGATTATAAGGGATTTCCATTCATGAAAAATCCCTGTCAACATATGTGCGACAAAAAACCACGAAGAGGCTCTTTTAGGTGAATCCAATCTTTTTTATTCAAGTGTTGGTTTGCAGGAACACGACTGGTTTCAAGATTTCATCATGAACTGACATTGGTTAGAGAACCATTGGAAAAATAGCAAGGAGCACTGGATAGCTGTTTCACCCTAGTTTCGAACTCTTCACCAGTATTTAACCACTAGGGATCGAACCCAGGACCTGCAGGTTACAAGGCGAGCTCGTAGACCATCAAGCCATTAAGATGTGATCCAACTGCCTATGAATTCCAACTTCTGCCAATTCAGTGGATGCGCGCTGGTGAAGAGTACCAAACTAGGACGACACAGCTGTCCAGTACTCCCAGGTTTCCCAATGGTCCTCTAACCGATGTTAGTTCATGGTGGAATCCTGAAATCAATCTTTTTTAACTGTACAATGGCATCTATATGCCGATTTTCACAAAAGAGAGCAGTAACAAAAGTGTAGAGCTGTCATAATGATAACTGTTAGTATTAATTAACGCATAAAAGGAGATGAATAAACATATTAGAGCTACGTAATAAGATGAATAATTTAATGAGTGAGTTTATATTCAGGATGCACATATAAACGAATAAAAATGTGATAATACGCAAGAGTCCGAAAGAAATGCACGAGTCATAAATAGTTAGAAACAAACAAACAAAATCCAGTTGATGGAAAGCAGCAAGGTTGTTAATATGATAGTAGAAGTGGTTGAATTATTTTTCTTTATATGCAAAGCCCCCCTTTCTCTGTCTGGACGGGTAGAGCTTCAGCACTGCAGAGGAAACGAAAGGGTTTTGTTTTTTTGCAGGATGTTCTTCACTTCGTAGATTACTTTGAAGGATGAGTTTGTCGAGGTAGAACGACCATTATTGACAAAGTACTTGATTATCGAACTTCTTATAGAGCCATTGCTGCCTTTCTACAGTACTGAAACTTTTTAGACAGGGTCCGCGTCGAATGACCAATCTGGTTGCACAGCAACAGGTGAACTGATACATGCACATAAAAAGGTCAAATGAGAGATTTTGTTTTTCAGGCTTCTCCAGACCAGTGGACAACTGAAGAACACTAGTGTAAAGAAAGTTCTTCCCAAAGATGATGAAATTCTCCTCATAAGAATATTGAAGGTTAAGTCTCGCTTGAAATCAAGGTTCATGTAAATTTTCATTTTTAGTGCTAATAAGGTTTCTTCCTCTTCAACTTTCGGTTGTACGTTTTTGTCAACAAGTTTCGATGGGCATCCATTCTGGATGAAGGGGATCTTTCAGAAGGGCTAATTCTTATTTTGGAACAACAGGGCTAAAGATGATTTGGATGCGATTGACAACGGATCTACTTTCTGTCAGTTAATTAGGCTATCGTTATAACACTTAAAAAAAGCATAGTACATATTATTTATTTGATTTTGATTTTGATTTATAGCTTGATTACACACCGTAATTCAGTACAAGTGTGGAATTTTCAGCATGGATATCGGTAGCCCAAATTCAGGCCGACCATAGATATCGGGTGTGCGCCGGCAGGAGATCGAACCCCGGACCATGTGCATGGTCGGCGAGAGTCCTAACCACTGTGCCACCGATGCACTGAAGATAAATAACTCAGAGTTGTGATCCTCTATTTCTCTAAGTCTGTGAGCTAACCCCCTGGCTAGTCAACATTACAACTGCAAATGAAAAATTATTTTCACGGTGGACTTCTCGGTGAGTCGAAATCACTGAATTTTCCGCATCAAATTACGACAACCCAATTTTTACCCTTCAACTAGATTTTTTGATGATGATAATATACGACACATTTCCGGGTTTATAAGACATGAAGTCCTACAATTGGTCAGAATCCATCAGTATAACGCATAAACAATCTTTTTTCAAGCATACTGTCTAGTTGTAAATTTTGATGGTCACTGTAAAACCACAGAGCCTGTAAAACACCAAAGCGTCAATGTTTTTTTGAGGTCGTTATAACAGCGCTCAATACAACATAGTCAAATGTTTATAAAAAATATTTACTCTGAATTGAGATCTCACAAGGGTTTTCTATTGAAACCATACCAAATGTCTGACATCAAACATGACGCAATGACTACAAGCACACAATTTAAGCATCAAATACTACTGGCAGGGAAAAATACTTGAAGGTCAATCAGATCAACTAATGGTACTTACTAGTAACACAGTGATGGTGGAACCACTAGACACTTGTATGGGTTGATTGTGACAAGCATACAGATTTATATACCTCAGAATAGGAAGCAGTTCTATTCCTAGGGAAGTTATAGGTGGATACTGGTGAAGACTCCTAAATTAGAGTGAAACAGCTGTCCTATTCCTCATGGTTTCCAGTAGTTTTGATGACGACTACTGGTGAAATCTAACTTGGAATATTTAGACACAGTAGCAGAATGTGGACTACAGCTTTCGGTAGGGCAAGACAGTATGTTAAATATGTGGATACCTTGACTGAGTACTCGGAAGTAACCAGAGTTATAATATGTCCAGTTCTTAGTATCAAATGAATTCTATCAGTTAAGATTGCATGGCATCCATAAAGTTAACTGATGCTCCATCGCGACGTATTTTTTTAGATTAGTCAACAGTGAACCTGAACAGCTTAGTATTAAAGTCTCTGACTTTAGCACAAGGCGACAGGGGGATGGTATATCTGAAGGGATATCAGTCACTTCAAGGTTAAAGACACTCCCTGCTGACGAGTACGAATGTGAGGTAGTGTTCACAACTTGTCACTGATTGTTGCAACCACTTAATATCAATTCAAAATGAACTGAAATGGTGACCTACATCACTTAGTGACCTCATGCTAACTTGGCTGACAGAATTAAATCAGCCCGACACAAAGCGCTAATAACGTGACAGTGATTAACACCTAATGATCAATCCCTGTAGAAATGCATTCTAATCCACACGTTGTATAACATCTCTACCCTATCTAGAAAAGGAATGCATTCACAGTTCAGATATAACATTTCCAGACAGAGAGAGAGGGAAATTCTACTATAATTACAGTCATAATACCGTAATATAAAACAAAGAAAGAAGAAAAGTCGCTGCAACGTAGATATTGATAAGCAAATAGAAGTATTGTACATTATTTGAAATAATTCCAGCGTGTTTAAGAAAATATCGAAATAACATTTTTTTCTGAACGGCTCGCTGTGAAAGCTACAGCTTCTTCAGCTGAATTATTCGAATTCTATTAACCATCAAAATATATATAGTCGAAAATTACATAAAACTGAAGTCAGTTCTCTTTGAAGGTTAACTTGTCGGTAGGCAGCCATACTAATAGAAAAATGTAAACAGTTATCACATATGTATAATGGCCAATGTCAAATTGCCATGTGTGCATATTTGCCTGTATGACTGTGTGTATTGTTTGTTATGTAAAAAACATGTCAAAACATGATAGTTGGTTACAGGATTTCATCATGATCCGGCATCAGTTAGAGAACCATTGAGAAACCTGGGAGTACTAATCAGATGTTTCGTCCTAGTTCCGAACTCTTCGGGAGTGCGCATCCACCGGAGTTCGAACCCAGGATCTTCTGATTACAAGGCGACCTCGCAGAACATTAAGCCACTGGCGCCCAATCCAATGGCCATCCCGTGAATTCTAACTTCTGCCAACTCACGATATAGCGCGACCACTAGCCAATGTCTTAGGAGAGTATTTGTTTTCACGCCCTACCTGCTGTAACCTACTGGTGACGACTTCCCACCAGAACCCCAATTAACTACCTACGTGAATAGGGCCAGTCACAAGTGAACATTTCATTGATTTTCAAGTATCGTCTACGAGCTTGCCTTGTAACCAGAAGGTCCTGGGTTCGAACCCCAGAAGAGTCCCTTACTAGGACGAAATGGCTGTCCAGTACCCCAGGTTTTTCAATGATTCTCTAACCAATGTCAGCTCATGATTAAATCCTGTAACCAATCAACCAAATCCCTACTAACCAATACTTGGAAAACATGATAATATTTTGCAGTGGTCATACATAATATTGGATTAAATTTATTTTCTCATTTTTATTTTCCCTCATAAGAAAATGCCATATAGGTGATAAGTCTATCCCTTCTCTTCTAGTTAGAGCATTCGATGTGGTTAAAATATGCAAGGCTTCAAAATTCCGCCTTTAGTTATGTGAATGAAAGCCTTTTCCTAGAATTTCAACATTACTGAAATTGATTTTGTGTCCACTGTCTATAGCATGCATTCATATAGCTGATCTTTTTTCTAAACTCCTTAATCCTGCTTCATTTCTAAAAGGACGTTTCGCACACAGCTGTGTTCATT